GGTGGGCCCATGCCAACCTCATGAAGTTCAACAAGGCCAAGTGCAAGGTCCTGCACCTGGGTTGGGGCAACCCCACATACAAATAAAAGTTGGGCAGAGAATGCATTGAAAACAGCCTTGAGGAGAAGGACTTGGGGGTGCTGGTTGATGAAAAGCTTGATATGAATCAGCAATGTGCACTCACAGGTTGTGGATGCCCCCTCTGTAGAGGTGATTCTGGGCTGCTCGTGCAGAGGAGTCAGGCACTACTGCAACTGCTGCCACTGTCTTGAAAAGCTGGAGTGGATGTGACCCATGCTCAGCAGTACCCAGCTGGCTGGGAGATCACACGTCAGAAAGTTGGTTGGGTGGTATCAAAAGAATAATTTAATTACCTGTCACATTATTTTCTTTCTAGGATTATTTTATTCAGTATTCTTTTGTCACATTGTCTCTACTAAAAAAAAATAATTAATAAATCCAGCTGAGAAGCAGCACATTGCAACAAGCACATAAAAGTGCTTTGCCTTCATTTATCACATGCCCCAGGTTAATCCATAAGGTAACGTTATTCTAACACAGTCGCAAGCATTTTTATAATGTATGAAACATTTTCTTCCAGATTTATGTGCTCTCTCTAGTTACAGTCCTTATGAGACTTGAGGAGCACTCCTTTATCAACATGCAACAGTGGCACAGCTTGCAAATACAGTCGCATGAGTCTTGCAATCTTTTACCCAGGGTTTATTCTAGAAACCTCTTCCTCTCTCCCCATCCACTGCAACAAAAGTTTTGCTTGAGGAAGGAGCAAGACCCAGAAGAGCTGCACTCTCTCTCCCTTGTGTTGCAATATCCAATCTGAGAGCCACTATCAGCTTTTGGAAACTGTACAGAAAACACAGATGATGTTTGCATATTTTAATTTTAAACATCTCTGCTCAGCATAAGGATGGAACCTAATAAGTTTCTTTGTTTCTGCCTCATGAATTAATTCAGCCTGTTAAATGATTTGGATAAAGCATTTTGATTCCAACTAATAAATTTGTTTTCTGGGCAGTCAAAATTACTTTCAGAGGCAAAGTAACAAGTCCATTAGCTTGCCAGGATAAGTACTTTTATAATATCTATAAGGAATAGACTTATTATTTTTTTAACCCACTTGTTCCACCCATGTCTTTTAAATCAATCAGATAAATTCACCTTGTTTTTCAATGCCCTGAATCCTGATAGCTCTGCACACTTGATAGGTAATTTAATCATTGTTGGTGTGGATGAACACAAGCTCAAATTAGCTTCTGAAAGGCTTAGTCGGCCTGTAGATATCTCTCCTTTCCACTCTCCTGCAAGAACTGAGCTTCACCAACTGGTTAGCTAGAGGTGTCATTAAAAATTTACAGAAAGAAACAAAGGTGTGCTCCAGCATCTCTCCTTACCCTTTCTACTGTTACTCTGGCAGACAAAAGGTATGGAACCTGCTTCATGAATAATGAGTCATGTAATATGCATAATGCATTTTTAATGGCACACAATAATAACATTGAGATATTTCCAATCTTCAGACTTTCACTGCAGCCTCTCAGTATCCTGTTCTGATTCTCCCCAAAGAGATCCTCTTTTCGTCCTCTTCATTTCAAATTCCCTATCTTAAAGCTGTGACTTTTTCCCAGATATAATCACATTTCACCCAAATCACCAGCTGATCTGATGCCTGGTGCAAGCAGGGCCCGTGAGGTGGGGAACACCCTCCCACACAGCCACATACCACCATTTCAAAGGAGTTTAGGCCTCAGCAACAGCTCAACACAAGGACCCTGAGGTATACCAATAAATTGCAAGACGCTCTGGGGTAAAACACACTTAAACCGACAAAAACACTCACCAGGTTTCTTTCCCTGAAGAACAGGCCTGTCATCGAGGCTGTGTCTGTGCTGCAAGGCCTTCCCACCTCACCAGCTGCTGCCTCCTCCGGCTGCCCAACCCCTGGCAGCAGCTCTGCACTAGGCTCAAAACACACTAGTTGTCCTGTTTGAAAATGAAACACTCCAGGGGACAAAAACACACTGCTACTGTAACTTTAAAGGTAAAAGCTGCTAACTGAGCCCACTCAAGACTGCTGGAGCGAGGCCTGCATGGGGGGAGCAGCGCTGTGCCGTTGGGGGCGCTATGTCCGGCAGGAACGCGTCCTGAGGGCAGAGGGGCTGGGGCCCGCTGCTGTGCCCCAGCCTCCCATCCTGGCAGCCCCAGCCAGCACTCACTCCATCCACAACAGTACTTTCCCTATAAAATAAATATCTGTCATCACCCTGGGGGCAGCTCCCAGCCTGTGTCACTCACTGAGCTGCTCCTTGTAGTCTCCCCTGATCTAGGCAGGCCCGAGGGCATCAGCAAGCCATTCCCATTCCCACTCAGTCTCCTACACTGATCATCTGCATTCATTAACGCAGCTTAATCAGCCTAATGTGGTCTTCAGAGCACCTGGCAGCTCCTGTGGCACCTATACCACAGCCTCTCACCCTGACAGCTGTGATTGTGTGCCATGCTTCTTTTTAATAGAAGCCCTGTGTCTGTGAGGCCTTGGTGTGGGCAGCCCTGTGTGAAAAAAGAGCTGACCCTGCTGTGCCCCAGCCTCCCATCCTGGCAGCCCCAGCCAGCAGTGACTCCATCCACAACAGTACTTTCCCTATAAAATAAATATCTGTCATCACCCTGGGGGCAGCTCCCAGCCTGTGTCACTCACTGAGCTGCTCCTTGTAGTCTCCCCTGATCTAGGCAGGGCCCAGGGCATCAGCAAGCCATTCCCATTCCCACTCAGTCTCCTACACTGATCATCTGCATTCATTAACGCAGCTTAATCAGCCTAATGTGGTCTTCAGAGCACCTGGCAGCTCCTGTGGCACCTATACCACAGCCTCTCACCCTGACAGCTGTGATTGTGTGCCATGCTTCTTTTTAATAGAAGCCCTGTGTCTGTGAGGCCTTGGTGTGGGCAGCCCTGTGTGAAAAAAGAGCTGACCCCTGCCCAGGTGGCATGCGGTGGGTTAGCCCCACAGAAATATACTTCAGCCACTGCCTGTGAGGGCAACCCTGTGAGGAAGGGGCTGCAGATGAAGTTCTCAGGGGTATCAGAAAGCAGAAGCGTGGAGGAACCTGCATCGCACCATGACAGGCTAAGTGCCACAGCCCTTGGGTGGGCAGGGTGCCCAAGGACAGGGCTAGCACAGCAGGGAAACGGGGACTTCTGCTCACTGCTTTTATCCAGAACAAAAGTACAAACAAAGTGGGAAACAAGAGCATATATCCAGCTGGGCACATAAGGTTATATGCACATGTAAGCACCCAGGCTGCCGTGCTATGCTCTGCTGGGAAAAGGACAACAGATCACTCCATCATCCTCCTGCTTCTCTTTTGTATGGGCTGTGACTGCCAGATGGGTCAAGCCTTGCTGACAAGGCAGGCCAGCAAAAGGAAATTTTGTGAGTCCCAAAAGGCTTAAGTATAAATGATACACCTGCTGCTCAGGTGTCCCTGCAAGTTCCCAAGTACAGACATTTAATCTTGCAGGATGACATTCAAGTTCCTCCTGGGCTGTATGGGGATTTTGGGCAGTCTACATTTCCAAAGCAGTTAAAGCTGCTGTTACTCCTCTATAAACTTTTATGGTGATAACCCTAAGCACAGTATACCTGTGTCTTCACAAGTGTGAAGTGATTAATTGAAATCGGCAGGAACTCTACGAATAAATATGACAGTGGTGTTCTGTAATCACCAGAGCCCTTGTGCAAATTCTGCTGTGCCTGCAGAATGCGCCTTGAATGCCCTATACCTGACCATTACTGGTGTATCATTATAACAGCTGACATTCATATATGTTGAAATTACATTCTAAGTAACAATCACTCTGGACCATCCTCAATACTTTATTAACTTAAAACATTGTTCCAATAAATATGTACCAATAAACATAAGACACTCAATAAAATCTAAATAAGGACATTTACAAACCTGTCAACAGTAAAAACAGCTTTTTTTTTTTTTTAACTGAGGTACATGCAGGGTCGTTTAAGGCAAATTAGGTCAATCATACTTTTATAATGATTCCTGCCCACCTCAGCCAAGTTTCCCTTTAAAAATTAAAAAAACCCACCAACAACCAAAAACAAATATACAAATTATGCTATTGAGTAGCTATTTTCCCGTTATTAGAACAAGCCCAGAGTGTGGAAGCCAGAAATGGTTCTGGACAGAAAGTCTGTGCCTCCCTGGTGCTTCTGCCTTCCTCAGTCAAGATTACTCATTGGATGCGTTACTAGTTATAAGGCATAACTCTGTGCTTTGGCTTTTCCACTTGTCTTTCACAAGCTTCCTTCTCCCCAGTGGATGTAGCAAGAAGCGCCTCAAACACACTCACACAGCCAGGCCTGGCACAGACAGAGGCAACTCTGGGAGGATAAAAAGGGCCTCTCTAAGTGTTAATGCAGCTCCTGATTGCACCACAGCATGTGAGAGCAGGATCAGGCCCAAGCTGGTACCTTTTCTTAAAAGAACAGGAAGATGTCAAACTGCACAGTTCAGTCCTGATCCTCCAGATTTTCCTGACAGGAAAACAAGACTGAAGCTATTCAGAACTTAAACTCAACCAAGGCAAGCGCTCCCTATGCCATGTGCTGATGGCTGTCATTTACATGTAAACACTGTTATACCCATGTTTCCCTGCAAGGTGATTCAAGCTACTAAAAACCTTCAGGGGATTCATCTTGACCATGGGAGAAATATTTTCCAGCTTACAGAAATAATTTCCAGCTTACAGATATTTGGTAGCTTATCCGTATTTGGAGTACTAGGCTTCATATCTAAAAGGCTTATTTTCCAGTGTTATTTCAAAAATGGGGGGAGGGGAGAGAAATCCCAACTTTTAATTTCCTCTCACAATCATTGAGGTTGAGTTGTAAATGCATGGCCCTGTCCTCCTCTTTCCTCTCTGAACTCCTAGTCAGAATGGAAATGCAAGGGTCCATGCTCAGGACAGGGCTTAGGTCCAGTGGGGAAGCCAAGGGAGTCTGTTCTCATAGTGTTGTGGGTGTTTTCTGTATTGCAGCTGGGACTCATTTCAAGCCGTGCTGTGTCTCCCGGTGTCTCCGTAAATCCACCTTCCGTTGGAAGCCTTTGCCACACAGATCACACCCAAAGGGCTTGAAGCCTGTATGCTTCCGACTGTGGGTGATGAGGTTGGAGCTCTGACTAAAGGCTTTTCCACACACCTGGCACTTGTGAGGCTTCTCACCTGCAAGCAGAAGGCAGGAGGGAAAGAGAGGGGGCATGAAAGAGTCTTACACAGGACCAGAGCAAACAAGAAATGCACACTGAGCCTTAGAGCTAATCAAAGGGATTTGTGTGATTACCAAAAAGTCATTCTTATAAAAAACATGCAATTGGGAGTCCCGAAGCATTAGCTGAGCCTGCACTGCAACTGAGACTTGGCTGCATTGGCATTGACCTAGTGTAGTCCTGGGAGCTGCCTGAAGCACAGGGTGTTACCAGGACACTGTAACTTGTGAATACATTTGGCTACATGGGCTCTGTGTGATTTAAACTGGCTTTGCATCCTAGAAATGTGAGGAACTCCTGGGAAGACCCCCAAGTTGAGCTGAATGCCTGACATTATAGCATGGTGGAATAGATAGATGGAGGATGTTAAGCCAACCCAGTGAGCTGACATCTGCCCCCAAGGGAGGCATGAAGGCCCTTACGTGAACCCTGAAGGTCAGGGTTCATCCAGCGATCTGCTTTTCTCTCCATTCTCCACACTGAAATGCTAGCAGTCACCTGAGCCAGCCCTGAAGATCTCCGGCAGGCAAATAATGTAAATGGGAATAAATCCAGCTTCCAGAACGTCTCCTATGAAGGGTTCAGTAAGAAAACTCCCCTGGCCTCCATGGGAGTTGGATCTTGGCGTATTTTCATAGTGTTTATTATCAAATAACGGATAACTCAACCACAAAACCAAGCCTGATTTTCAGAGTGGCTTTGCACCTGCAGAGCCCACTGACTTCAGCTGGAGCAACAAACTCTTTGTGCATTTGAAGATCAGATTCTTAGAAACGTAAAATAATGTACTGGAAAACATAAAATAAGTGTACTGGAAGCTCAGTTCACAAGTGTGTGCTGCATATGAAAGGGATACCTAATTCAGTTAAGGACCTGACTTTATATTAGCAATTTAAAAGCTCAGGCACAGTTTCTTATCTCACAACAAAATAATGGTTTTGACTCATCCAGAAATTTGGATTAAATTCTACTTAATCAAGTCTCATTTGAAAAAGTTAGTGTAGAAATACTTTTTGTGTTACTTCCTAAATAGTTCATTTTCATCCAGCAAACATATGGTGCAAAATATTTATAAGTATTATTTAACATTCACTGCTTGTCATCTAGAAAAGTCACAACCAAGCAGTGCTACACAGAATGCCATCTTTCTACGTATTTGCCATCTTTAGGCTTCACACTTGGTATCTGCAAGTCACTGTCAGGAAATATAATTTTGGTCATCTGAACCTCGGTTATGCGCAGTACAGCTGTTATTTTGTGTCTAGAAATGCTTCTGTATCTCAGTTATCTCACGCATCATTTTTACTCTAATTCACATGAATGGTGCAGGTCTGAAAGGCAAGGTTTGCTTCTAAAGATTTCTGATAAAACTGCCTTCTTGCTGAATTGTATTTCTAAAACAATCTCCTTCAGTGATTCACCTACACTTTATTGGTTTCCATGTTTATTACTAACAGTGAAACTTGAGAACTCTGCACCTTTCCTTCTATTCTGTATCAAACTGCTGCCATTTCTCAGAAAGTCTGGGTGGAAGTGCAGACAATCTCTGAACAAATATTTAGACTAAGAGTTAGACCCTAAGCCATCAAGTTTAGTGTTTGATCTAGAGGAGGAGACTCCTGTTGTTCCTATTGTAAATTGGTAGATCCTGCAAAAAGAAATGCTGCCATCAAATTTACCTGTCATTTTCCAGGGACCTCAACTATAAATCAAGGCTACATTAATATAATACTCTACAAATCATCCTACAGAAAAGCCCTTTGAATAAACATTGGTGTATGCTATTAAGGGAACACTGATTGGATTGCGAGGATTTGGGTTATTGTGCAGCTGCTGTTCATGAAACCACATTCAAATGACCCTCCTTTGCACAAGTAGAGCTCAGACAGCATGAACAGCAGCAGGGCAGGGAGAAGCACAGGGAGATGCACGTAATGCCCCAGCTTAGGAGGAAGGGACTGCTGCAGAGTCACCTCTGCATAGACTTGCCCCCACAGTTGGGGCCGAACACTCACAGCTGCAGGGCTGACCTGTGTGAATGAAGGTGTGTTTCTTCATATCAGATTTCTGGTGGAACCGCTTCCCGCAGTACTGGCATGGATAGGGCCTGGTGTCCGAGTGGATAAGCAGGTGGGTGGACAAAGTTGACGATCTCTTGAAACTTTTGCCACAGATCTTACAATCAAAGCTGCGTTCCTGTGGAGAGAGGAGTCCAAACACACGTTACACCACACTAGCAATCCCACCAGCAAAAAACTGCCCTGGCAGCACATCAGTGTTACCCCTTCTGTGTCAGCAAGCACTTCCACTTCTCCAGAGAGCTGGACTGGCTTGTGGAGACGCTAACACTGTTAAGATGGCACCACGTGATTAAAAAAGATAATGCACCTTCTCCCAGTGTTGTGCACCACTCATCACTACCATTTAACTGAACATCTCTTCCTGCTGGCAGGAATGGCCAGGTGGGAGCAGCTCTGCATCTGCACATTTCAACAGGAGCCCAAGCCATGATCACTCCACTGGGAAGCAAACAGCTGCAGCACTGTTCAGGGGCAACCTCTTCACTGCATACAGAAAAGTGGATGCTGAGGTCTACTTGGCTCTCCTGGGAAATCTCTGTGGTAAGCTGACTTCTGCTGGCAACATAACAACTAACTGCTTATTTGTTGTTCCATTATAATTCAAGTGAAAGGTACCAGTGCACCTAGGGAACATAGCTTTTTGACTGTTTAGCATATCAAATAAGTGCATTAAGACTCTGCAGTCTCTCCTCTTTCACTTACACACTCACCTCCACCCCATTCTTCCACCCTAAATTATCTCTTATTTCCACACACTACCTTCACACATTCCTCTTCCTGCTATGCTTTCATACAATCACCTTAGTTTATTTGACTTTTCTTTCCCTTACACACTCACCTCCACCCCATTCTTCCACCCTAAATTATCTCTTATTTCCACACACTACCTTCACACATTCCTCTTCCTGCTATGCTTTCATACAATCACCTTAGTTTATTTGACTTTTAACGCATTCTCCCTGAAACGTTGTCCCCTCCATGAACACAATATGAGTGCTGCTCTTTTCACTATTATTTAATGGGTGATGAGATATTTCCCCTCATTGTGTGCTCTGCTGTTGCACACATGACATTGTAAATAAAACAGTTAGAAAAAAAACACTGCTGTAACACTATTCTCCAAAAGCCAGTCTGAAGAACGAAGATTTGCCAGGTCAAGTGGGTGGGTGAAAGGGAAATATGGCACAATATCAGCAGGTGGAAAATGTTACAAGTCCTCCTACCAAAATTAACTACTATATTCTTTTGGTGCGTGACTCAGAGTGTGTCGAGACGGGTGAAGTCTGTGCTCTATACCTGACTGGTCTTTCAGATGTTCCCTGCACAGGCACAATGACTACAAACAAGGGAAGACTCATTTCTTTGGGGGAGGGGGAAAGAATGAGAAGAGCTGCATTGAAAGAAAGCACAGTGAGTTGGTTTAGCTGTTAAAAAAGTCCATATCTGCATTACAATTTCCAGCTCTGAGACTGAAAATTTATTATTTATTATCTGTTATTTCTAGCATGCCAGAAGAGCCCATCACTTAATACAGACACATGCAAGATCTCAGGAATTGAAACAAATCCTGTGTTCTTTAATTTGTTGATTTGTTGGAGTACTGCGTACAGCTCTGGAGCCCTCAGCACAGGAAAGACATGGAGCTGTTCAAAAGGGTCCAGAGGAGGGCCATAAAGATGATCAAAGGGCTGGAGCAGCTCTGCTATGAAGACAGGATGAGAGAGTTGGGGCTTTTTGGCCTGGAGAAGAGAAGGCTCTGGGGAAACCTTATAGTGGCCTTACAGTACCTGAAGGGGGCCTACAGGAAAGCTGTGGAGGGGCTTTTCACCAGAGAGAGTAGTGACAGGACAAGGGGTAATGGTTTTAAGCTGAAAGAGGGGAGAGATAGGTTAGACATCAAGAAGAATTTATTCACCATGAGGGTAGTAAGGTGCTAGAATAGGTTGACCAGGGAGGTTGTGGATGCCCCCTCCCTGGAGCTGTTTAAGGCCAAGTTGGACAGAGCTTTGAGCAACCTGATCTAGTGGGAAGTGTCCCTGCTTATAGCAGGGAGGTTGGAACCTGATGATCTTTAAAGTCTCTTCCAACCTTAGCCATTCTATGATTCTGTGATTTGCTCACTAGCTGCCCCCCCTTTTCTCTGCCTGCCACCATACTCTTCACCCACAGTTTCCATCTGCATTCCTACCATGTTTTCCTCCTCTCCTCAGTTTAGATGCCCACCTACTGCCCTCTGATTGCCTTCATGTCCTCCCTAGTGCCAGCCAAAGCAAGCAGCTGGCCCTGGCCCTTGGACCTTCATCCTGGCAGTCTGCCTTGCTCTCACCTGTGAGTGTACGGCCTTGTGCTGCTCCAGGCTGACTGCATGGCCGAAGGTCTTGCCACACATGTCACAGGCAAAGGGCCTCGTGCCACTGTGTGAGCGGCGCACATGCACCTCAAGGCCATGCGGCGTGGAGAAGACCTGAAGGGAGAGAGCACACAGGGTCAGATTTGTCAGAGAGAAGGGGCTGGGGAAGATTTATAACCAGTGTGGATAAAGGGATCCCTACCTTGCTGCACTTGACACACTTGTAAGAGCCAGTACTGATGAGCAATGGGCGGCACAAGAGGTCTGACTCCACTTTGATGCCACCTGGCCCCTTCTCTTGCTGCAGCCCAGGCTGTGATTCAGCATAGAGTCCGGGTGCTGCTGCTGGTGGCCGCTCAAACAGCCCTGGGCCCGGGGAGCCGAAGTCACCATAAAGTCCAAGGGAAGAGCTACACTCTGCACTGTAGAGGGCAGGCTCAGAGCCTCGCTCACAGAAAAGTCCCAGGGCTGAGGTTCGCTCCAGCGTTGGGCAGGGCCTGTAACTTTGCACAAGGTGCCTCAGCTCAGAGCCACCCAAGCTGTTCCACATGTATGGTTTGAAGGGCACTGAGAATGGAGGTGCTTCATCTAGGGATGGGCACACAGATCGCTCCGAAGCTGCAGAAACACAAGGGCATGGGGATTAGTGTGCTTCACAGTCCAGTCACTGTCACGGGCCAGAATTCTCTCAGCACTCAGGCAGACCCCTGTACTGCACATTAAGGCTGCCCTTTCATTTCTAATGGAAGGACCTTTTATATTGCACAGTAGGATCAGTGCATCCGGTACTACCTTCTTACCTGTTGTCCCAGCCAAATTATTTAAAGCAGCCACCAATTTTGTCTACCTCCATCTCTGTGTGCCCAGATGTATACACACTTATCTGACTGTTGAGACACTGAACAACTCAGTCTGCAACTTCCTTTGACTTCATATGCAGCTCCTCAAAAAAGTGTATCTACTATGTCCCAAGACACGCATCACAGCTGACAGTCCAAATGTTTAAGTTCTGATGGAGATACTACACATCCATATAGCAAATACGACATTATAGAGTTGGCAGAAGGAGCAAGAGTGCTGCAATTTACCTGTTTAATAAAACTAAAACCTGCTTGTTGTACAATTTCATGCCCAAATCTAGTCACTCAACTTCATGCTACAACTGTCCATAACTACACTACAGCATAATGGAAATAAAGAACAGCTGCTAAGGTGCTTGAACATCATGTCTCACTTTTTCAGAAAAAAAACAAACCAAAATCAGTTCTCATCTGAAATAAAATCGTGATTGTTTCAGATTGCTCTGAGTTTCTCCAAGTAAAGAAACCGACTTTACCCCAAAAATTGAGCTTTGCAAAGTCATCAGCATAGGCAGCACTAAAAATTGAGGACACAAAATTATTTTCCGAGCAGTCATAATCAAAGTGATCTTCCACAAAACAAGCTCAGATGGCTTCAGTTGGCTCTAACAGGCTCACCTTTGGCAATGGCATGTGACCAAGGCAGTGGGCACAACAAGATGAATCACACTTGGGGGGCCCATAGCAAAGCTTTGTGCAATGGTGGGAACACAGCCTTTCAGATCAGCATCTAAAGGCACAAATGCTCAGGGAACCTCACATAGAGGAAAGAACAGTTGGGCAAGTAACATGAGGTACCAGACCCCACCTGTGACTGCCAGAGATGCTGATTAATGCCCAAGGTGCTCTGCTTTCACTCTTCATCACAAAAGGTGGCAGCACTGTGAGAGTCAAATGTCTCCAGTGAACAAATGTTTTAGTGAACTGAGGAGAAGATGAATTAATTAACTGCTGAAGTGCCAATGCCTTCATAGAGCTGTTGGCATCCCTTACAACTTAGGCTTCCAGAATAACCTCCCTTAACCAAAAACTTGCCTGCCTGTAGTTGCTCTCTTGCTTTTTCTTATTCCTATCAGCTTCACAGCTCCTATGACTTTCTCAGCCTTCAGCAAACCAAGATAAGAGGGGTGGGCTAGGGAAGGAAGTAATGATATGTTAGGTCATCCATCTGGATAGGCAGATGGTCACTGAGGGTTACAAAAGGGAGTGAGAAATGAGGTAAAAATTGAGCTTTGCATGACTTTACTGTTTCCTATCTTTTACATTATTTCAGATGTTAACAGTCTCAAATTCTTCCAGTGAAATCAGCAGTCTTTTCATTGGAAATATACGCACACATACCAACTGGGACATATGAACACAGCGATGAAATCAAATTAGCTGACATGGTGCTGAGCATGATTTTTCCTGTTCTGCACTGACTGCAAAGTTGTGGTCAGCGTCACATCATCTCCCTTGTGTCTTTGCAACCAGTTTGTGTTGCCATCTCTCACGATTTTATCACAAGATTCAAACTATCTTAAAGCCCCAGCTCTTGAAACTGCATGATTTCATCAGACCCTCAGCCTTCCTTTTGTTTGCTTGTTCTTAATTTTTTTTCTCCTCTTAAAGTCAACTTCTAGCCCAGACCATAAAGAAATGCATAAAAACATAAACCCTCAGTATTTCAACACTAGAACTTAATATCCGTAAGGTATTACTTACAATCTTGAGTTCTAAGCCAGTCTGTTCAGTGAGAGGAGACGGAAAGCTGACCTGAATTTTGAGCCCTTGGAACTGGCAATATGGGACATGGTAAACACTGCACCACCGATCAGTTTGCGTGCAATGTTCCTTCCATCCCCTCACATGCTTTGGAGACCTCTCATGCACAGGAACAGGGGAGTCACTCACACTATATTTCTCAGGGGCAAGCTCAAGCCACCCATGCCCTGTACCCAGTGTCAAGATGACCTGAAAACCCTGATCTGCCACACTGCAGGGCACTTGTGTCTGCCTCTTCTCCACTCCACAGCATCCAGGCTTCCAGTGGGTAAGCAGGGAGGGAGAGATTCTTCCACCTCTTCCTAGCAATTCTGTGCAGCCTGTTTCTAGACCACTCCTGGGTGAAGAAACATCCATGCTCTTTTTTGAAGGCAAGGCAAACTCAACCTCAAATGGCTGGGAACAGATTGATATGCACAGCAAAGAAAGATTCAAGTGTCCTCCACAGATCACAAAACACCATGCTCTCTGCACAACTCCACTATACCCAGTAAAAGCCTCCCTCCAAGACTGCAGCATCAACAGACTTATTAAGAGTGCTGAATTGACCTATCAGGTACCTTCTGTATATGCAAATGCAAGTGATTACAGACACAAATAAAAAGTAAGGTTAAACAAGAAAGTGATTTGCACTGATGGAGTCAACAACTGATGGAGTGTTAACAGGTATTGAGTCTGTGCTTGCCTGCCTGGATCAACAGCAGGGCACTCAAAGACAAAACTGAAATCTGGCTTTCACTGCATAAGGAAGCGCAGCTTGCACTTCACTTCTAGGGATAAGGTGGTGATAGTACTGCTCACTGCACCTGCCCTGAGCATGATTTAGAAATATCATTTGTCATCTGCTGAACCTGACAAAGCACAGAAACCCCACCCAGACAAACACAATCATAGAAATCCAGTCTCTGACCACTGTATCTTGCAGAAGTGTCCTAGGCACAAATTCCAGCTGCACACTGAATCTGACAAGGCAGCTGGAAGGCGCAGGGGTTGGGAGGGAGCTGTGGGAAGAAGCTCAGCTATCTAATCCTGCTGCCACTGCCTTGACAATTAAACCTAACAGCATTTCTCTCGATGCACTGAGATTCATTTAATAAAGATCCTTCCTTACAGTACTTGGAGTCCCTTACCTTCCTGTTCCTCCTGTGAATAGGATCAAACAGTGCAAGGACTGCCCTCCCCCACTACCAAAAATCTTGATCGAGGGCTGTCGCCCTCATTTTGCAAAGATGCCTTCCTTGGGTAGCTGGATGGCTGGTGGGAAACTAATGAATCCTACAGCAGGGGAAGAAATGAGTGGGGAGGAGAAAAAGGCACAGCATCCCTGGTAAATACCTATTCCATTTTATATCTGCCTTTTGGACACCTCGTGAAAATGGTCTGTTTCCCGTGCAGAAATTGCAATTATTTTGGGAAGGAGAAGCAGGACAAATTCGTTAGAACAAATTCATTACACACATTGCTACACTTTCTGTGGAAGTATTATTTTAAAAAAGAAAATAAAAAGAAAAAAATTTAAAAAGAGAGAAAGAGGGAGTTATGGCTGCATCTCTGGATTTGGTTCAGTCTATCATTTGCACAGACTGAAACTGTCCTGCAGCTGGCTGTGATGATACTCGGCAGCATTTTAAATGTTCCCTTAAAGAACTTTAGGACTCTTAAAAGGAGGGGAGCCTCTAAAAATGCAAACCCACATCATTACAATCAGCCTTTGATACGCAAGGACACTATAAAGGCAAGTGGGAAAATGAGTGGGGAAAGGAGACCAAGTATTCGTTTTCTGGCGTCTGGTGTCAGTCAGTAAAGCTGAGACAATTTTTCCTCTGTTGAGACATTGTTTTTTTTTCCAACTGTCACATTTTTAACCGAGGCAATAAAAAGTGGGTTTTATATATACATATTTTGTTATAAAATGACACGATTGTATTTTTAAATGAGATAACTATTCACGTCAAGCTGGGGACAGCATCTCCCACTGTTCCAACCACATCAAAGGCAGGACGAGGGAGCTAGAGACAGGCACTGCAGCCATAAGTGTGAGTTTCCTGGATTTGGGGTGTTTAAATCTGACTGTCATTATTTTAATCTGGTTTTTTTTAATGCGTTTTTAGAAAAGCAGGAAAAAAAAACAACCCCAAAACCAACAAACACAGAAACGAAAAAGAGAGAACAGGGGAAGGATGGAGAGGTGTTTTTAACAGGCAAGCAACGACCTGAAAGGGAGTTAGGGAAAATGTCTAGCAGGTTGTACAAAACGCAAAGACAACACCGTTTAAAACGGGTTTGTAGATAGCCTACTAGAAAATTTTACTGTCTTAATGAAACATGTAAACTCCGGGTAGCAGAAGCCTATAGGAAAATGGTGGAACCTTTACAAAACAAAACAGAACAGGCTTGCCTCTAGCAATTAACCAGAAACTAAAAAAATCAACGCCCGATGGCAACACAACTTTCCTACAGCCTGTCACCCGCCGCTGCCTTTGCAGCGGGAGATGAGCTGGAAGAGCAACCCGAGAGTTATAATCCGAAAACGAGTGGAAGGGACAGATTTGCTTTTTCTCACTGTACGGGAAAGGCAAATCTGTCCCTTTCACTCATTTTCGACGGCAACGTTCAGCCGTGAGACATGGCCCTACGGCACCGACACATACGCAGCCTCGCAGAGCGCTGCTCGCCCGGTCCTACCTGGAGAGACGGAGGGCGAGGGAGGTCTCCAGAAATCCTCAAATTCGGACACCCTGTCGCAGACGCTGCCCTCGCAGCTGGGCGCTGACTCGGAGGTGCCATCGGCAGCCTCGGTAAGGTGGGATTCCGGGGAGAAGCGGCCCTGAGAAGGCTCCGGATCGGGCACGACGGTGCGGCACAGACCCCTGTCCTCGGGGATCTTGCTGTCTGCAGGACAAAGGGGACGAGGGGGCCCCTCAGTGTGGCTCCGCGATGGGAGCCAGCCACCTCTCGCAGCGGCTCCGCCCCCCCCAAGGGTTGCTGCCCGACTC